TTGTTCAATACTTCGAACGTGGCTCGAGTCCGTCCCGACCATCTGTCAAAGCCTCGTGCTGCGTACTCTCTCGCGGACTCTCTCTCTCGCACCGTCACCTCTCATTGGCCAGTGTTTTTCGTTAATAACTCGTAAACAAAGCCGCGGATTGCATTTTCGCAAAGGAAAAAGTTACTTCAAATGACCTCAGCTACCCCTCATTTTCGGCTGTTAAAATAATTGTGGGACACCCTGTATATCCGTTATCATAAACGATACTCAAAAATGTTAGAGGAACAGATTGGATGGTTCGAAGAAACACATATTGCGGTGGAAATAATTTCTTTTTAAATGTCATATTTTTCGAAATTTCAGGATCATCGATGTTTTTTTAAGTGGGATTACATATTTATATCATTGTATCGTGACATCTAAGATTAAGACGAATCTAATATCCTATAGAAATATGTCTTTCATTTAAGCCGGTCGAATATCATATTGCTCGTCGCAATTTGAATTGTCGCGCCGAAATCGGCTGCGACTTGAATACAAAATTTGAATTAAAAAATGTGTGTCAGTGAAAATAATTTTGAACAACTATTCCAATCAATTTATCATTGTTGATCTTTCTATTATAGTTATTTCAGCATTCGTGTTCATTTCTAAACGTTTTAAGTTTAATTTAGTCTAATTTTTTAAGTTTAATTTTTCAAGGTTACGAGGTCATGTTATTACAGGTCATTTTATTTGTTTCGATCACGAAAAATATGACCTTTAAGAAAAGAAAAACTACACAATCTGTTTCCCCAGCATTTTGGAGTATCATTAATGATAAAAAGATATTATTTTGTAACAGTTTTAGTAGATCACCCTGTGTACATACAGTAAATTATCCCTAATTGACCCTCAGCTTGGAAACAAAAATAGACAATTTGGGAAAAGGATGTACGATTATCTGAGCCTTAAGTCCCGTTTTTATAGTTGTTGACAACCGGCAACTGTAAAAAGGATCCGCGAGGCAGCAATAACTCTAGGAAGTCAATAATATAGGGTGCCATTTAATCGAAAAACAGTTTTCGAAAGGGCCTAGCCGATGAAGAGGATCAAACTTGCCCTTAAAGGTTTTCTAATGACCGTTCGATAACTGACCAAGTAAAACTGTGCAAAATTTCAATCCTGTAACTTGTTAGTGAGGATAGTTACAGGGTAAATTAGATTGCGCGTTTTTTCGCCCATTTCCCACCTTCGATAGCTTTTTAAAATTTTTTAAAAATATGGCTTATTTTAAACATCAATCCGCATATTATAGAATTTTTTCAGATCTTTTGGTTGCAATTTGTGGTTATAGAAAATGGAGAACCAAAAAGAAATCGGAAAATTGAAGATTTCTCGATAAGAAAAATACTGGCCTTCTTTTATGTTAATTCCCTGATAAAGTACTATCACAAGCAGTGCGCTCAATTTTTCTCAGATTTTTCGTCAATCTGTGGAATTGTCAAAAAAATGAAAACCGACTTTGGGTTTACTGCAAGTATAGATTAAATAATTTTAAACATTATTATATTGAAGCAAGCAATTTTTTAACCTAGAAAATGCGATTTAAGAGAGAAAAAAATTGTGGTGTACACATTACGATATACATACAGTAATTTCTCCCATAGATGCTTTTAGTCGGAATCGAAACAGGCGAGTATGAGAATACTACGTCGTTCTAAGGCATGATACATCGAGCCTCGTGGGCCGCCTTTATAGTTGCCGACACCTCGTGAGAGAGAGAGAGAGAGGAAAATAGAATGAAACTCTCGTTCGAATGAAACTACATGAAAAGGCAACGGTCAGCACCGGCGGCCAGCATCGGCGACAGCCGGTGTACGTTACTATGAATACATTGTAATACTAGAATAAAAACGATGAGTTAACTTATTTATTTATAATTTTTTATACATAAAAATTTTTTAATATATCAGTCAGATTTTTCCAATTAAAATAATACCAAACACGACATGCTTTAGATCGTGCTTATTCATTATTCGTAGCAAGTAACTTACTTTATTTGCGAGAAAAAGCATTAGAAAACCCGATTCTCAACATATGAAATATTAAAGGTAACGCTAAAGAAGGTATGTATGTCGTACGAAAAAAAATATTAGTGAACTTATGCTATTCGAGCTTACGTTCGACGACAATAAGAAGGAGGCCATGGCTGAGTTAGATGACGGCAGGAGGAGGCCATGGCTCGGTTCGACTACAGTCTGAGAACGAGTCTACGCGCTGAGGGTGTGAAGAAACAGTTTCCTGTACTTTGTCCATCAAATTAAAAAAAGTTATGTCATTGTATTATGAGTTGTCTTCCGGGAATTCGAGTCAAAGTAGCCGCGGCCCGTTCCGCAGCACACGTGTTCACCAACTCCGATATCGATAAATTACAAGACCGTAGCAATATTACGGCGTTAGTGATGACACACTGAAATTACGTCAATACGAGAGACATTACTGTAGTTGGGACAGCATATGATGCGTATTGCAACGATAACACCGAGAATCGAGCATACAGTACCGGACAAAATTGAGTGGACACTCTTTAAAACGTAGTATCATTTTTAAATCTTGAACTAGTTGACTAGAATTTTTTTTAATGATAATGGAATTAGTCTACTAGGCAGTGACTATAACGTTTTCTTTTTAAATTCCCTTATTACTTGAAATGGTAAAAAGAATAAAAAACTAATATTATTTTTATAATAATGTGCGTACCAGTTCGTGTTACTTTCAATAATTTTATTAGCGAACGAATTTACGCGCGTAACAAATTTATTGCTTTGCAAACACGATTTTATTGCTAAAATGCAAAGTATATTTTTACATTCTACTAAATTGTCTATAAGTGATAACGAATTCGTAATGTTAACACATTTTTCAAAAAACTATAACTGTATTGTTCAGGACGACGTATATAGTTATTATTGGATCGCTGATGAAGTTATTGAAAGTCAACTGAATTGGTACTTACAAGACTGATCAATATTAATTGTTTATTACTCCTTCCGTATCGAAATAATTGTTCTATTTGCATAAAATATTTGTATCGTAATGATTGTCCCATTTTAAAGTATAATGTTTTACACTTTCTGTATCACCAATTTCAAGACGTGAGCATAATTTACTATTATGATACAGCTATACGAGTATAATAAGTATTTATTTAACTTTTATTTTATCTATTTGAACGGCGCATGTTATTTTATTGCAAATTTATAAATCAGACAAACATTTCGATACGAAGGGAGTATAAACTACAAAAATAAAAATTTCGTCTAGGATGACGTTTCACTGTTTACCTAAAATATTTCAGTTAATATTAATGTGAAAAGTATATTTATATTTATTTTTGATAAAAATCAATATATAATCTTACAAAAATTATATCACGTTTGGTCTTATTTTAGTCAGAAAAAACTCACAATTGCATTAGCAAAAGTCCCATTAAGAAAAAATAAAAAGGTTACACATTATCTATCCTTCATTTGCTGTCCTTTTCTACGTTCAGTAAAGTGCAAAGGCGGAGGCCGAATCTCAGTCTAAGACACTTCAGTCCCGATGTTCATTCAGTGTTTCATCGATCCTATCTGGTACGATGCACGTACGACTAATGTGAACACTGTTAGTCTAGTACGCTGCAAGCACGTCCTGAGCCTGGCATGTGAGTGTGTTTCGACCCTACACCTCTGACAACCAGACTTCCACGAACCAATATCGTCCTGTCAGCCACTATCCTTGATTCGTGACGAACCTAACTTTTGCAAATAATATATGTATACAGGGTGTCCCATAATTATGTTAACCCCTTGACATACCATTTTCTTCGCAGTTACTGCGATTAGAAATTTTTCGATTGCAATAATTTCTTAGAAGCGAAAGAAAATTGCTGCTTATTGTATGCCTAAATTCACTTGAATGCTTAAACATTGATAACAAGAGATTAGAAATTTATTGCAATTTTAAAGGACAGAATAACAGCTATACTCGATAAATTATTACTAGAAATTTTCATGACGAATCGAACTCGTCAAATTATGGCAAGGGGTTAACAGTCAGAAAGTGGTGATTCCTGAGGTCATTTGAATCCTTAGCGGAAATGCAATCCACGGCTTTTCGTTTACGAGTTATTAACGAAAAACACTTTATTTATATATTAATTATTTTAATATTATATTATATTAATAATTAATTATTTCATATATATTACCTGTACTTAAGGATTTTTTGTAAGTATGTAATCCCTATCTACGATTAATCTCCTCGCTCTCACGTGACTATACATATCATACATCCATCTCATATTTTTCTTTTTATAAATTGCAGAGCGCCGCATATAGAATTGCAAAATAGCAAAGGCCTGTCTCATCAACAAGTTGATACACTGAACACAGAATTAATGAACCTGACAAAACAACTGCAAGGAGAAGTAATGATCTTTGAGCTATGCCAACATGTTCAAAAATATCTGCACGAGAACCAAAAACCAAGCTACCGTAGTTTCTACGAAGAAATGGTTTCACGGCGGCAGGAAAAAATTGAACTTGAAATGGTGGAAAAACAACTGAAGGAAGATAAAGCGAGACAGGTAAGCAACACAATTTATTATTAGGTTTAGAAATAAGCTTTACGCGAGCCAATGTTCTCAGAACACTTTTCCACTAGTTTAATCAATATATTAATTGTTGTGGCCCCGCGGATGGCCGATTCCAACAACGAAATTTAACGTATTTACGTAATTAACGTATTAGTCCTTTCAACAAGACGAGTCAGCAAGTGCAAATATGCTCAGCGACGGGCTGATTCACAATCAATGTACTCACGAAAAGTCTCTAGGCTAGGAGTGGGGTGGCGACGCATGCTCATGTGGCATCTACCGGGTGAATATTATAATTCTGAACTACGATGGCGACGCGATGCAAAGCTTTTATCTGATCATAGTTCAGAATTACATATCATGTTTACCCTCAAGATGCCCCGTACAGCTGTGCAGGACTCCAACGCATGGCGTTGCTTACCCCCACTCCTTGCCTAGTGACTTGTCTCGAGTAGACACAATATAACCGACCCCTTGCATATTAAGCTCCCCCACCTGGCCACAGTGGGCCAGTTTTATAAAATAGATGGAACTAATCCATAAATTTTAACGTCATTATATAAGTCAAAATTAAGACCATTCGTAAGCGTACATTTCCTTGGGATCAGAGTTGTGCAAAATTCATTACGAATAAAAAAAAATTTGGCTGTACTTTCTAGAGGAGACCTAGCGCCGATCAAGATAGCATTTCAAGGGTGTATAGAAATGGGAGGGGGGGGGGGTCCAAAATATAAAATATAAACTTCGGGCATTTAGTAACGTTCAAGATATTCACAGAAAATTTTTAACGCTATACATTGAAAGCAGCGTATACAGACATTACTAACACATTGAATCTATCCAAACGTTACTAATGCATCAAATCCAAGTCAATAAAGTAGGAGTGACACTGGTTTCAACATCTATAGGGTACCCAAACACTTGGTTTAGGTTAGGTCTGGTTTAATGTATTTTTCGAGTGAGCGAATAACTTTCACGATTCTCATGTTCAGTGGGTTTTATATTACATTTTCAAATTTGTTAGTAATTGCACTTGATCTTGGTTAGATTATTTTTCTAGCGAGCGAACCGAACAAGCAATTATACACATTTTCACATTCAACAGTTTTTGCATTACATTTTCAAATTTGCTGTTATTTTTCGAGCGAGTAAGGCGATCGATCCGCTTTAACGATTCTCACGTTCGACAATATTTACGAAATTCTTCAAATCAAAATCTCTGTTTTGAATAAAGGAAATACGTTACGCAGGATTCATTAATATCTTAAAAACTACTAAATGCCCGAAGCTAATATTTTATATCTACCACCCCTCCCTCCCCCCTCTCCAAATACCATCTCGATCAGCGACAATTCTTTTTCGGAAGTTTACCCTATTTGTATTCGTTATTCGCGAATGATTAATAACTAAAGTTACTCACAAAATTGAGCGTACACTTAAGTTGGCAAGGATGATTAGCGAAGAAATGAACAAAAACGAACATTTTCTAAAGTAAAAACACAATATATGTTTTATTTAGATATTTCAACAGTTAATTCTTTGAAAACTTTTTTTAAAAAATTAACTATTTATCTATATTTTACACTAAACGTAAAAATGCTCTTATTTCGTCGTCACAAAATTCAGCGTACAGTTAATTAAGTATTTCAGAAATTGAGTTTTGTGAAACTTGTTATGTATTTTTTCGATTTTGAATTTGTTCAGCTATCCTTAGGTCACGTTATTGCGTTGCTATGTTACGCTCAATCGTCATTTGTCACTGTTTATTAGTAAAAGTTAGCACCATGTCTTCCAAAAGATCAGAAACCGATATTTTTTTTACGAAAAATTGTAGTCAATTTGTACTGTCAAAACAAATCGTTAAGACAAAATTGGTCAAATAATAAGAAGGACTCTTTCTACAATGCGGGACATTATTAATAATTATAAATGCAGTGGAACCCTTTGTAATAAAGTAGGATGGGAGAAAAAAAATAATGCGTGAAGACTATGAGCGGTACATAATGAGACAAATTAAAATTGATCCCAAAACCATTGTTCCAAAATTAACAATATTCCATCTCTATGGAAACTATCCGCAGAGTCCTACGTGATAAAGGGTATCATGGTAGAATAGTGAGGAAGAAACTTTGGCGGCGGTTCGAATGTGTCATGGAAAAGGAAAGGGGAGACGTTTCGTCCGGGGCCCGCTAGAGGACTCATCAGTAAGGCCATCCTAGCGGGCCCTTGCCTTAGACGTAAGAGTAGGACGAAGTCTCGGGGTATATATAGGGATCGAGGCGGATCGACTACTAGCGGGAAGAGGAGCCCTCTGCTGGCGGGTCTGGAGGTAGCCGCCACAAAACCTTAAATTTCTTTTTTCTCCCTTCCAAGTCTTTTTTATAGTTCCTATAATTTACTTTGGTAAGTGTTTTGTTGCTTTATGAATATTGCCGTTGATACGCCGTAAAAATGATTCGAACAAGAGTGGCGAGTTGACTCTTGTCCTCACAGGAAAACGTGACTTCGGTTCCAACTCTTGTCCTTTGTCGCTACATCTGCAACCCATCCGTTGCGCTATCGACGCTGAGTTTCGAGGACCTCGTATCCTAAACACGTTCTTCTTCGACACGTTCTTCAGAGGTCGTTCTTCTTCGATGTTCGACTTCTTAAAATTTCGGGGTTGATGGGAAAAGTACAGGAAACTGTTCCTTCACAGGAAGGAACAGACTTCACTAGTCTAGCGCGTGTAGGCTAGTCGAATCGAGCCATGGCCTCTTCCTGCCGTCATCTAATTCAGCTATGGACTCTTTTGCTACCATCATCTAACTCAGCCATTGTCTTCTTCTTACCGTCGTTGAACGTAGGCTCGTATAGCATAACTTCACTGATATTTTCTTTCGAACGGTATACATATTTTCTCCTCCGTTTTTTTCGTTTCTTTTGTATACGGTACTCCAGACCCTGTGGGGTCTCTTTTTCCATTTAACCTGGATATTCTGTGAGGCATGAAATATTTGTTATTAACGTGAAAGGTGGAATTTTCGTTTGGCATGAGCGCAGTTACAGGAAGAAACCTATATTCTTGTAAGGGGGTACAAAGAGTTACAAGTGACTTGTGGTACAAGGGTTACTTGTGAGTTTGGTTATTATTTTTAGAGAGATGTTATGTGATTTCCTGTTTGTGATTAGAGGGTTATTGTGGTTGTGGTTATACATATACATTTTTTACTGAATCCTCTATACATACATTTATGGACGGTTTTGCTTTTAGTTAATCTGTGAAGTTTTTGGATTGTGGCGTCGTAATCTTTGTTTAGGATAATTCTGAGGAACTTGTTCTGTGCGATTTGTGCTTTGTTTGCGTGGCCCAAATTTGGTGCCCGTATAAGATAATTGGTCTGACGCAGATTTTATATATACATTGATTTTTATGTTTGTGTTCAGTTTATTTTTGGGGACCATGAGTGGGCTGGCTAACTTGACTCTATAGTTTATTGCTGGAGTCCAACAATTAGAATTGGTGTGTTACATAGGATAACGTGTTTGGTGGCAACGTCCTTTTTGCGAATGAAGGAGATGGCTTCTGTTTTTTGGAGGATTGATTTTAATTTTCCATTTGTGGTAGAATTCCTTGAGAGACTCTAGATGTTGTTAGAGATACTGGGTGGCTTTGTCAAGCTTCCAGAAAGAGGATGTTCCACCTAATTTTGCCATTCTTAATTATTGTCATATTTATAACGTTACAAAGAAATTGTTCGACAGAAAGTTATGGTACATATTTAGGTGGGAAAGTAGGCATATATTTTGTAGCAGTGATGTAGTAAATAAGAGAAAAAAGAACAAACATCCAATATCTTTTGAAGTTATTCAATGGAACTTCAATGGTTTTTTTAGCCGTCACTTTAGACCTACAGATAATTTGGCATTGAAAAAGATGTCATTGTAATCAACGAATAATGACTTAGAAATCGATTATTTTTATTTGCACAAGACAAATAACATTTTATTCGCGAACGAACTATTCGTGAATAAACTATTTACGAATAACTTATTCACGAATAAGGTAATAGTAATTTACACACAAAGGAATTATTCGCGAATAAAATTATTTAATTATTTATTCATTCTAATAATCATCTAGACAAAAAGTAATTGGAATAATGTCTAACTCTGCTTTCGATACACTGAATATAGTGCGTACTTTGATAGCGTTATATCTGACCTCATCTGTTTTATAAAAATAAGGTAATCCATTGTCTCTTCAGGTAATACGTACATATATACATATCAGTCAGTATTTTTTACGTCTCAAATGTACAATATTTTTTTGTCAGATAGTAATGAATTCTTATAGTACAGGCATTTATCTGCAATTTCTCAAAAACTATTTGATTTTCACTTCCTGCTGCAGTCGTAATTTGCTATTACATTGTCGTGTGTAAAGATATCCGGTTCTATCAATTATATCATACTATATAGAGAAAGTTGTAATTTTTTCGTATATGTTAGTAGGTATAATATCATGTTTAGTATCCTGTTCAGTAAACACTGATGCAGCAGTTTGCTGCATCGTGCTGCATTCGTGAGACAGCGAGAGATTACGATTGAATTACGCAGCGAGACACACGTGGCAGAAAGTGGCGGGGTGCCTCGCTGCGTAATCCAGTATGTATTTCTGGCCTTTTATTAGCATTTAACATTAATTATCTCAAAAACTATAAGCCGCCTATCTCCAAAATCGGGTATCATTGGATTCAGCTTTACAAGTTTTATCACTGTATCACATCTCATCAAAAAGTGAGTGTCAATCCTGGAGACCACCCCTTGTTAGTTTTGCTAAAACTACCTTCGGGCATAACATAATTTTTTATTAATCTAGACATAACCTTTCATTTATACATATAAGTGTATATAATAACACAGTATACATATGTATGAAACTTACAATCTGATAATACTAATAATACTACTAATACTAATAGTAAACTACTAATAGTAAACTAATAATAAACTACTAATACCAATAATACTAATTAGAACCATTTTTGTTTGAAAAAAGTCCAAAATTTCATTGTTTACAATTAATTCTACCTATTTTATGAAACTGGCTTTACAAGGAAGGATCTTTGATGAAGGACCACTATAACTTTGCTCTAAGCTCCGTTTTCAACAGTTGCTAGCTAGCACAGTTAATAATAATATTATTATTATCTACGAAATACGAATTTGAAAAAGATATAAATAAAAATAATATTATTATTATTATTATTATTATTATATTATTATTATCTACGAAATACGAATTTGAAAAAGACTTCTTCAATTTAAAATGCAAGATTATCGAGTACAGTTGATAGCTCAAAGATAATTCATTCGGCTTCAACCAAGTAACATACTTAATCCAAATATTCCAATATTGATAAAAGTGGAGAGTTTTCGGACAAATATTTCACATATTATTTCATCAGTCAACGTGCATGTTAAAGAGGTAAAAGAAGCCATCGAAGAAGGGTGTGAAAAACGTGTAAAAAATGCATCGACAGTTTTATATCTGTTTGCAAATATTATTATTAAATGATAATACATTTTTACGAAAACTTGCATGTGTGATCTATGAACCAAGACAGTAGATGTGTAATTTTTGAATATTTTGTGTTTTACCATATAACAATAATTATTAGATGTCCCAATTTCCTTGTCTGTCCCAATTTTTGTGTCCCTGGAATAAAAACGTATAGAAAAAAGAAAGTATTATACAGGGTGTCCCACAATTATTTTAACAGCCGAAAATGAGGGGTAGCTGAGGTCATTTGAAGTAACTTTTTCCTTTGCGAAAATGCAATCCGCGGCTTTGTTTACGAGTTATTAACGAAAAACACTGGCCAATGAGAGGTGACGGTGCGAGAGAGAGGGTCCGCGAGAGAGTCCGCAGCACGAGGCTTTGACAGAAGGTCGGGACGGACTCGAGCCGCGATCGAAGTATTGAACAAGTCACAAGGCGAGAACTTTACGGATTTTTTTTACTACATAACAGTGATATTTTTAAGAAAAACGCTGTTCACCTTTACTTTAGAACGTCTGAAGAATATTTACTAATTTTTCGGACCCGAAATA